GAGGGTGACAGTGTCAGGGTGTCCCTGAGGGTCACAGGGTGCCACCCCGTGTCCCCCCAGGCAGCCTGTCGAGCAGCCCCGAGGACATGTCGGCCGAGGACGGGCGCGAGACGTCGTCGGGGATCGAGGTGGAGGCGTCGGACGTGAGCCTGAGCCTGACGGGGGACGAGCCGGCGGCGCCCGCGCGCGGCCCCCGCGGGGACACGGACAGCGACAGCTCCGGGGAGCGCGACTCGGACAGCATGGACGACACCGGCCACTACTCCATCCCCGAGGAGCCGCGCGGCGACGGCGACGAGGAGGAGGACGAGGAGGAGGAGGAGGAGGAGGAGGAGCAGCGGCGCTCCCGCCGCCGCTCCCTGCGCAAGCGGCCGCCCCACGAGCGCGACTCGTCGGACGAGGAGCAGGCGCTGGAGGACTGGGTGGCCTCGGAGACGTGGGCGCTGCCGCGGCCGCGCTGGAGGGCGATCCCCGCGCTGCGGCAGCGCCAGCTCGGCTCCTGCGCCCGCTTCGTGCCCGAGGCCTGCGGGGCGCGGCTCTTCGTGCAGCGCTTCCGCCTGCAGCACGGCCTGGAGGGCCACACGGGCTGCGTCAACACCCTGCACTTCAACCAGCGCGGCACCCGCCTGGCCAGCGGCAGCGACGACCTCAAGGTGCTCGTGTGGGACTGGCTGAGGCGCCGCCCCGTCCTGCAGTTCGACAGCGGCCACAAGAGCAACGTCTTCCAGGTGGGAATCGCGGGATCGCACGGGAATGGGCATGGGGAGGGTGATGAGGCCACAAGAGCAGCGTCTTCCAGGTGGGAATGGCGGGATCGCACGGGAATGGGGATAGGGAAGGTATTAAGGGGCACAAGAGCAACGTCTTCCAGGTGGGAATGGGGGGATGGCACGGGAGGGTGATGAGGGCACAAGAGCAACGTCTTCCAGGTGGAAACTGCAGTTTTCCCTGTTTTCCAGGCGAAGTTCCTGCCCAACAGCGGGGACTCCACGCTGGCCATGTGTGCGCGGGACGGGCAGGTCCGCGTGGCCGAGCTCTCGGCCACCCAGTGCTGCCGCAGCACCAAGCGCGTGGCCCAGCACAAGGGGGCCTCCCACAAGGTGGGTGCGGCATTCCCGGGAATCCTGGCTCCGTGGGGACCCCCAGTCCGGCGGGGGAACCCCAAATCCGGCTGGGAGTGGGTGCATTTTGGCCACTTCTGGGTGTACCTTACCCGGTTCTGGGTGAATTTTTTCCATTTCTGGTTGGATTTTCTCCATTTCCGTGCAAATTTTGCCCATTTTGGGTTGGATTTTGCCCATTTTGGGTTGGATTTTTCCCGTTCCTGGTTGGATTTTGCCGGTGCCCGGTTCCCAGGGCGCCCATTCCCAGTTTTCCCATTCCCAGCTGGCGCTAGAGCCGGACTCTCCGTGCACGTTCCTGTCGGCAGGCGAGGACGCCGTCGTGTTCACCATCGACCTGCGGCAGGACCGACCCGCCTCGTCAGTGGCAACGGGGGATCCGGGCGGAAAAACGCGGGGGATCGGGGGGAAAATGGGAATTTTTGGGGGGGGAAGACTTTGGGAAGCAAGTGGGAGTTTTGGGGGGAAAATGTGTGAATTTTTGAGGAGGAAAAGATGAATTTTTGGCTAACAAACGGCATTTTGGGGTAAAAGGATTTTGGGGGGAAAAAAACAAGGGGCTTTGGGGGAAAGCAGGGATTTTGGGGGAAATGGTTCGATCCTTTGGAAAACCATTGGGAATTGTTCAGTCTCTTGGGAAAAATCTCGGGAATGGTTTTCCAGTTCCCTGGAAAAGCTTTGGGAATAGCTCAGTGTCTTGGGAAACCTTTGGGAATGGTTCAATGCCTTGGGAATGGTTCAGTCCCTTGGAACACTCTCGGGAATGTTTCCCCCCTCCCCGGAGCTCGGGGGGGGGGGAGGGGGTTGTCCTGTGGAATCCCGGGGGCTTTTGGGGTGTGTTTTTCCTGGGAATGTCCCGTTGGGGCTCCCCGGGGTGGGGGTTTGTTGTGATTATCCCAGGTTTTCTGTTTCCCAGGAAGCTGGTGGTGACGAAGGAGAAGGAGAAGAAGGTGGGGCTTTACACCATCTACGTCAACCCGGCCAACACCTTCCACTTCGCCGTGGGCGGCAGAGACCAGTTCGTGAGGTGAGACCCCGAATCCTGGGAGACCCCAAATCCCAGGAGACCCCAAATCCCAGGAGACCCCAAATCCTGGCATCCCCTCAGCCCCAAATCCCAGGATCCCCCCCAGACCCAGATCCCGGGTGTTCTGTGGGTCCTGCCGGGGTTTGACCCCGGGATTGATCCCTGGGAAACCCGTCAGGCTCGTACTGGGATGTGCTGGATCCACCTGCTTCCCTCAGGAATCCTTTTGGATCCTTCAAGAATCTTCCTGGATATTTCAGGAATCCCTTGGGAATCCTGCTGAATCCCTCAGGATGGAGCTCCTGGAGCGACAGTTCCTGCCCTCGGGAACCCTGGGAGGGGGGAAGGGGTCAACCCCCATCCACAGGTCCCTCCCCTGGGAATTTCAGGCTGGAATTCCGGGCAAGGGAGCGTCGTTCCCGCTCCCAATCCTGGAATTGCTCCTGGAATTGCTCCTGGAATTCCGCCCACGCCGCGTCTGGCGCTGAGGCAGCAGCTCCCCGACTGCTCATCCCGCAGCTCCCACAGCTTGGGAAGAGAGGGGTTGTTTTCTTGGGAATTTTGAGCCTCCTCTGCTCCTTTTCCAGGGCTTGGATCCCACTCTGGCATCCAGAGCGAATTCCAAGCCTTTGCTGTCCGTGATTCCCGCAGGATTTACGACCAGAGGAAGATCAACGAGAACGAGAACAACGGGGTCCTCAAGAAGTTCTGCCCCCACCACCTGGTGAGGGGGGACTGGGGGCACTGGGAGGGGCTGGGATCGGAGTGATCCCGTGGGATCTTCCCAACGTCCTGCCTGGAAAAGCATTCCCGGGGCCCAACAAACCCCCTGGAACTCAGAGTGGGGGTTTTTCCTTTTAATCCTGATTTTCTGCTGCTTGTCTGGGCACCAGGAGGGGTTTTGTGCTGGGGGGAGCACCCCCAGCTCCTGCCCAGGCGCGAGAATTCCAGGAATTCGGGCTGGAATTCCGAGCTCTTTCCCTCCCCTTTCCCAGGTGAACAGCGAGTCCAAAGCCAACATCACCTGCCTCGTCTACAGCCACGACGGCTCAGGTGAGCCCTGGGGTGGGGGGCCCTGGGGGGGCTTCCCAACACCCCGAGCCCGCCCCATTCCTGCCCCATTCCCACCTTCTCCCCCTTGGAATTGCAGAGCTCCTGGCGAGCTACAACGACGAGGACATTTACCTGTTCGACTCCTGCCACAGCGACGGCGCCCAGTACATCAAGCGCTACAAGGGGCACCGCAACAACGCCACGGGTGGGGCCCACCCCCCCAGGAACCCAAAATCTGTGTCCCCGTGGGCTTGGGAGGTCCCGAAATCCCCCAGGAATCGGAGATTCCAGAGCTCCCCGCTCACCTCACAGCACGGCCCGGCTCGATGCCACCCCTGGGAAAGGGGGAAAGGAGGGGAAAAGGGAAGGGGGGGGAAAGGGGGGAAGGAGCAAACGGGGAGGGGGAAAGCGGGGAAAGGAAAAGGGCAAAAAGAGGAAAAAAGGGAAAGAGGAAAAAAGGGGAAGGGGAAAAAAGGAAGGAAAGGGGAAAAAGACACCCCCAAATTCCCTCCACGTCCCATTTTATCCCAGCTTGGCCCCTCCAGCCTTTTCTCTCCCCCATCAAACAAAAAGACCCCCCCTGGAAACCGGCTCAGGAAGGGACTCCCCCCGTGTTCCTGGCCGGGAATTCCGCTGGGACTGACTCAGTCTCCTCATTTCTCCCGTTTTTTTCCCTGGAATTCGCAGTGAAAGGGGTGAATTTCTACGGCCCCAAGAGCGAGTTCGTGGTGAGCGGCAGCGACTGCGGCCACATCTTCCTGTGGGAAAAGTCCTCGTGCCAGATCGTGCAGTTCATGGAGGGGGACAAGGGGGGCGTGGTGAGTCCCCCCCTCCTTCCCAGCACCCCAATTCCCTGTGATCCTGGGGGATTTATCCCGGTTTTTGGGGTGGTTTCACCCCAGGAGCACCAGCCTGTCCCCCCTATCCCCCCCCCCCATCGCCCCCATCCCGTTTTTCCTGGGTTTTCCCACGTTTTTGCGTGTTTTGCAGGTGAACTGCCTGGAGCCCCACCCCCACCTGCCCGTCCTGGCCACGAGTGGCCTCGACCACGACGTCAAAATTTGGGCCCCCACGGCCGAGACCCCCACGGAGCTCACAGGGCTCAAGGAGGTCTGGAGGGGTTTGGGGGGGATTTTGAGGGGTCTGGGGGGGGAGGTTGGGGGGGTTTAGGGTGTGTTGGGAATGTTTTAGGGGAGTTCTGGATATTGAGGGGGGGTGGTCAGGGGTGTTCTAGAGGGTTGGAGAGTGTGGGGTCACCCTAAAGGGATTTAGGGGGTTCTTGGGGGGCGTAGGGCCATCCACAGTGATTTGGGGGGGTTCCCAGGGTGGGTGTGGGTTCCTGGGGGGGGGTTCCCAGTGTGTGTGACCCCTCAAACGCCCCCAGGTGATCAAGAAGAACAAGGTGGAGCGGGACGAGGACAGCCTGCACCACACGGACATGTTCGACAGCCACATGCTCTGGTTCCTCATGCACCACCTGCGCCAGCGCCGCCACCACCGGGTACGGCTCGGCCCCGGCACAGCCAGAAAACACCCAAAACCACGCCCCAAAGCAGCCCAAACACACCCCAAAACACTGCCCAACACAGCCCAAACACAGCCCAAAACACTGCCCAACACAGCCCCAAAACCAGCCCCCAAAACACCCCAAAACACTGCCCAACACAGCCCAAACACACCCAAAAACACTCCCCAAAACAGCCCCAAAACCAGCCCCAAAAACACCCCCAACTTCCCCCTCACTGACACCCCAAAATCCCCCTTGGCCCCCTTGCCCCTTTTTCCCACTCTTTCCCCCATTATCCCAGTTTCCCCCATTATCCCATCATCCCCCCATTATCCCAGTT